AGGGTTCGACTCCAGCTCCAACTGACAGGTTGAATATCATATGCTTTTTTTTCTTTCTTTTTTTTTAAGTGGTAAGGGGGTGGCCTCAAGATGATTCTATCAGTCAATCAGGGCTGTATATGTAGATATATATAATTTGTATCACCACACCCACACAGTCAGACTGAGCATTTCAGTGGCCCGAGGAGGCTCAAGGAAAAACATATTTTGGAGTTACAATCAATAAATTAACACACAATGATTGATTAGACATACAGGGATGATTTAAAAATGTAATTAAAAAGACTGCATGGGGGCTTAAAATTAGAAGCTGGAGGTCTTCAATGCAGTTAAAGAGCGACTGCACTTCCTGATTTAGCCTCATTCTGAAGATTGCTCATTAAGAAATGCTAGCGGCCATGACTGAAGCCAAACGAGAGGTGTCTTAGGGGTGTGGTTTGATGTGTGTGTGTTATGTTCGCATGTCGTACCCCGGCAGGTGCTGTTGTTTGTCCCTCCTGAGTCACTGTAGCAAGAATGAATCTAGGATAAATCAAGAAATCTGTAATCAATGTAGACATTTTTGCAGAGGTCTTAGTTGTGCAACTTTACATCTACACTGAACAAAAATATAAACACAACAATTTCTACGATTTTACTGAGTTACAGTTCCTTTAAGGAAATCAGTCAATTGAAATTAATTAGTTAGACCCTAATCTATGGATTTCACATGACTGTGAATACAGATATGCATCTTTTGGTCACAGATACCAAAAGAAAAGTAGGGGTGTGGATCAGAAAACCAGTAAGTATCTGGTGTGACCACCATTTGCCTCATGCAGTATCTCTGAGCATTCAAATTGCAATCGATATAATGCAATTGTGTTTGTTGTCCGTAGCTTATGCCTGCCGATACCATAACCCCACCACCACCATGGGGACACTCTGTTCACAACACTGACATCAGCAAACCACTCACCCACACGACGCCAAACTTGCTGTCTGCCATCTGCCCGGTACAGTTGAAACCGGCATTCATCCGTGAAGAGCACACTTCTCCAGCGTGCCAGTGGCCATCAAAGGTGAGCATTTGCCCGCTGAAGTCAGGTCAAAAACCTGGTGAGGAAGACGAGCACGCAGATGAGCTTCCCTGAGATGGTTTCTGACAGGTTGTGCAGAACTTCTTTGATTGTGTAAACCCACAGTTTCATCAGCTGTCCAGGTGGCTGGTCTCAGCCGTTCCAGCTGGTGAAGAAGCCGGATGTGAAGGTCCTGGGCTGGTGTGGTTACATGTGGTCAGCGGTTGTGAGGCCGGTTGGACGTACTGCCAAATTCTCTAAAACGACGTTGAAGGTGGCTTATGGTTGAAAAATTGCATAAAAAACTAGTCAGTGCACTGCATACAGTCTATCGAGTCGGAGAAGTCTGGCTGCGTGCTCAGGACTGATTTCTGGGAACAATAACATGTCTACAACTTCGTCATCTGCAAGCTGTAATATATAATAAAATAATATTAGATCAAATCATATTTTATTTGTCACATGCTTGTTAAATAACAGGTGTAGACTAACAGTGAAATGCTTACGGGCCCTTCACAACAATGCAGATAGAGAGAAAAAAATAATAGTAGAAAAAATAGAAAAATATTAACATAAGGAATAAGTAGAAAAATAATAACACAAGGAATAAATTCCCAATGAGTAACAATAACTTGGCTACATACACGGGTTACCATTACCGAGTTGATGTGCAGGTGTACGAGGTAATTGAGGTAGATGTGTACATATAGGTAGGGATAAAGTGACTAGGCAACGGGATCAAAAATAAATATACTGAACAAAAATATAAACGCAACATGCAACACTTTCACCGATTTTACTGAGTTTCAGTTTATATAAGGACATTAGGCCCTAATCTATGGCTGTCTGGGTGGCTGGTCTCAGACAATCGCACAAGTGAAGAAGCCGGATGTGGAGGTCCTTGGCTGGCGTGGTTACACGTGTTCTGTGGTTGTGAGGCCGGTTGAACGTACTTCCAAATTCTCTAAAACGATATTGGATGCGGCTTATGGTACAGAAATGAACTGGCAACAGTTCTGGTGGACATTCCTGCAGTCAGCATGCCAATTGCACGCTTCCCCAAAAACTGAGACTTCTGTGGCATTGTGTTGTGTGAGAAAACTGCACATTTTAGAGTGGGCTTTTATTGTCCCCAGCACAAGGTGCACCTGTGTTATGATCATACTATTTAATCAGTTTCTTGATATGCCACACCTGTCAGGTGGATGGATTATATTGGCAAAGGAGAAATGCTCACCAACAGGGCCGTAAACAAATGTGTGCACAAACTTTGAGAGAAATAAGCTGTTTGTGTGTATGGAACATTTCTGGGATCTTTTATTTCAGGTCATGAAACATGGGACCAACACTTTATATTTTTGTTCAGTATAGTAACAGCAGCGTATGTGATGAGTCAAAAGAGATTAGTGCAAAAAGGGTCAATGCAGATATTCCAGGTAGCTATTGGTTAACTATTTAACAAACTATTTAGCAGTCTTATAAGCTTGGGGGTAGAAGCTGGTCAGGGTCCTGTTGGTTCCAGACTTGGTGCATCGGTACAGCTTGCTTTGCGATATCAGAGAGAACAGTCTATGACTTGGGTGGCTGAAGTCTTTGACCATTTTTAGGGCCTTCCTCTGACACCGCCTGGTATAGTGGTCCTGGATGGCATGGACCTCCGCGCCAATGTACTGGGCCATACGCACTACCTGCTGTAGCGACTTACAGTTGGATGCCAAACAGTTGCCATACCAAGTGGTGATGCAGCCAGTGAAGGTGCTCTCAATTGTGCAGCTGTATAACTTTTGGAGGATCTGAGGGCCCATGCTGAATCTTTTCAGCCTCCTGATGGAGAAGAGGCATTGTCGTGCCCTCTTCACGACTGTGTTGACGTGTTTGGACTATTTTAGGTCCTTAGTGATGTGGAAAGCTCTCAACCTGCTCTAGACCTGTTCCATGTGGATGGGGGCGTGCTCGGCCCTCCTTTTCCTGAAGTTCACGATCAGCTTCTTTGTCTTGCTGACGTTGATGGAAAGGTTGTTGTCCCGGCACCATACTGCCAGGTCTCTGACTTCCTCCCTGTAGGCTGTCTCATCATTGTCGGTGATCAGGCCTACCACTGTTGTGTCGTCAGCAAACTTAATGATGGTGTTGGAGTCGTGGGTGAACAGGGAGTAAAGGATGGGACTTAACACGCACCCCTGAGGGGCCCCCGTGTTGAGGTTCAGCTTGCCGGTTGTGTTGTTGCCTACACTCACCACGTGGGGGTGGCCAATCAGGAAGTTCAGATTACAGTTGCAGAGGAAGGTGTTTAATCCCAAGGCCCTTAGTTTACTGAGGAGCTTGGAGGGCACAATGGTGTTGAACGCTGAGCTGTAGTCAATGAACAGAAGTTCCATGTATCAGACTATAATAAATAAAGAACAAGCTACACACTGTTTTTCAGTGCCAAATATCACTTGCTTGCTAGTTAAGTTCCAACTCTGTGTTTGTCAATGAAGCTAGCAAGTAATAGCTAGCAGGTACATTGAGCAACCAGGCCATAATCATCTTATCAAGTCACTGGAGAGTGGCGTTGGTGTACTTCAGTGCCGTTTCGTTTTTTTTACAACTTTCTCACTATCTACAGTATTACCAGAGTGTGCGTCTATCTGGCAGTGTTTCATTGGGAATCATGTTACAAAACAGGTCGTGGGGGGTCACAAGACTCTCGGGATACAAGTAAGCTCTGATTGTCTTCAAAATGTTATCTTCTGAAGAGATAGCCTTGAATTGTACACAATATGCATATTCTCTCCCACAATATTGGTTCGTGCAGGTGACTGTGACCTCCTCCTCAGACCAATTGGCAGAACGCTCAGAATATGTTCTAGAAGTTAAGATAGGAGACATTGCTCAGTTTCTTGGGAAACTGAGCCCGCGCGATAACAGCCAGTCACCTGCAGGAACCAACACTATGAACCATGCCTATGTAGCTTTTTTGTGTAGCAGTATATAAGAGGAGTGAAGGGACCACCCTGGCGGAGCTTGTGGCAGACTTGTAATTTGTACGTGTGTTTGTTGTAATAAAGAGTGATTCATTTAATATTGACTTCAGGTGTCCCTGGTGTTGAATTTCCACCACAATCTTGGCGTCACGTAACAGGATCAGTGATTCCACCTGTGGCGCATCCCAGTGAAGGTCTGCGAGGGAACACCGGTGGCGCATTCCGTGTGAAGGTGTTAAGGAAATTCCTGTCTGACCAAAGACGACGTCGACCCGCCCAGACCAGACATTTACTGTGAGCTGCCCAGGGGAAGATACCTGATCTGCGAACCTCTGAGGGACACGTCTACTGAATTTTAGTAATTCAATTGTTGTAACCTCTCCAGTTAAAAAATTGTTATTTATTTAATATTGACTTCAGGTTTCCCTGGTGTTCAATCAGACTCGAGTGATTTACATTATCAAACACATCAGCAAGTGGCCACTCCATAAAGGGCTTAGGGCCAAGAGTTATTTCAACATAACATTGGCAGCATGTTGTCTTATGTAAACAAGTCTGAGGCGCTGCGTAATGGACAGGTCTGTCTCACTGACTAGAGGTTCTGGTTGCAATGATTGGATAGAGTGTCCGCATCTGATAGAGTACAATCAGCACAGCTGCTTCTCTCCTGTTAGTGGGCAATGGGCAAGTTGGCATGATCTTAATCCATACCCAACCCTCCAGTAAGTCGTGACAAACTCACTCACTGACAATAGAATTCATGTTTCTGACTCACATCGATGCCACATAGGCCGTTTAAAAACCAGAGAATTTGGTTCTAAGGGGTCGTTGACCTTTAAACTGACCTGTGATCAAACAGCAGAGCACATTAAGAGTCAGAGCCAGCACACAGTGAGGCAAATTAAGAAGGAGTTTGAGAAGCTTCACCAGTTTCTACTAGATGAATATGAGGCCAGGATAGCTGCACTGAGCCAGGAAGAAAATCAGACACAATCAGAGCAATAGAGAAGGAGTATCATTCCTGCAGAACTACAAGACCACAGTGAAAAGAGCCCAGTGCACACTGTCAAATCCACAGAAAGTTACAGGAGATCTGGTTGATGTGGCAAAGCACCTGGGCAACGTGCAGTTCAGAGTCTGGAAGAAGATGCAGAGAATGGTTAAATACACTCCTGTGATTCTGGAACCTGCAGGAGTAGGTCTCATCCTGTCTGAGGATCTGACCAGTGTGAAATACAGTGATGAGCCACAGCAGTATCATGACAACCTAGAGGTTTGAAGACCCTTTTGTGGCCTTCAGCTCTGAGGGCTTTAGCTCAGGGACACATAGCTGGGACGTTGATGTTGGATAAAATACAGGCTGGGTCCTGGGTGTGGCCTTACAGTCCATCCAGTAGAAGGGAGACAGTTGCTTTGAATTTGGATCCTGGGGTGTGGAGTTTAAGAGCAGAATATTATACACATTCCTTATCAGATATTTTAAGTCTATTCACTCCATTCCAAGTGAGAAAGCCCCAATGAATCAGAATACAGCTGGACTGGAAAAAGTGAGATCTTCCATTTGTTGACCCAGTCGATAACTCCATACAACACAAATAGTTTTAATGAGTCTTTCCATTCACCTCTACTAAACTCAGCAAAAAAAGAAACGTCCCTTTTTCAGGACCCTGTCTAATTCGTAAAAATCCAAATAACTTCACAGATTTTCATTGTAAAGGGTTTAAACACGGTTTCCCATGCTTGTTCAATGAACCATAAACAATTAATGAACATGCACCTGTGGATCGGTCATTAAGACACTAACTGCTTACAGACGGTAGGCAATTAAGGTCACAGTTATGAAAACTTAGGACACTAAAGAGGCCACTCTACTGACTCTGAAAAACACCAAAAGGAAGATGCCCAGGGTCCCTGCTCATCTGCGTGATTGTGCCTTAGACATGCTGCAAGGAGGCATGAGGACTGCAGATGTGGCCAAGGCAATAAATTGCAATGTCCGTACTGTGAGACGCCTAAGACAGCGCTACAGGGAGACAGGACAGACAGCTGATCGTCCTCGCAGTGGCAGACCACGTGTAGCAACACCTGCACAGGATTGGTACATCCGAACATCACACCTGCGGGACAGGTACAGGATGGCAACAACAACTGCCCGAGTTACACCAGGAACGCACAATCCCTTCATCAGTGCTCAGACTGTTCGCAATAGGCTGAGAGAGGCTGGACTGAGGGCTTGTAGGCCTGTTGTAAGGCAGGTCCTCACCAGACATCACCGGCAACAACGTCGCCTATGGGCACAAACCCACCGTCGCTGGACCAGACGGGACTGGCAAAAAGTGCTCTTCACTGACGAGTCGCGGTTTTGTCTCACCAGGTTTGATGGTCGGATTCGCGTTTATCGTCAAAGGAATGAGCGCTACACCGAGGCCTGTACTCTGGAGCGGGATCGATTTGGAGGTGGAGGGTCCGTCATGGTCTGGAGCGGTGTGTCACAGTATCATCGGACTGAGCTTGTTGTCATTGCAGGCAATCTCAACACTGTGCGTTACAGGGAAGACATCCTCCTCCCTCGTGGTACCCTTCCTGCAGGCTCATCCTGACATGACCCTCCAGCATGACAATGCCACCAGCCGTACTGCTCGTTCTGTGCGTGCTTTCCTGCAAGACTGGAATGTCAGTGTTCTGCCGGAGGGTGAGGGCTAGGGCCATTACCCCCAGAAATGTCCGGGAACTTGCAGGTGCCTTGGTGGAAGAGTGGGGTAACATCTCACAGCAAGAACTGGCAAATCTGGTGCAGTCCATGAGGAGGAGATGCACTGCAGTACTTAATGCAACTGGTGGCCACACCAGATACTGACTGTTACTTTTGATTTTGACCCCCCTTTTGTTCAGGGACACATTATTCAATTTATGTTAGTCACATGTCTGTGTAACTTCTTCAGTTTATGTCTCAGTTGTTGAATCTTGTTATGTTCATACAAATATTTACACGTTAAGTTTGCTGAATATAAATGCAGTTGGCAGTGAGAGGACCTTTCTTTTTTTGCTGTGTTTATATATTCTCAGAGGATCTGTATCAGTGGATACTGCCTCTGCTTAAACCAGGTGTGAACACGCTGTAAATGAGTCAGTAACACTCATAGTGTAAGATACTCACAGAGGGATGACACACACTGTGATGGAGTGGAAAGGACCTTCCTCCACCAACTACAATCCATATGTAACACTCTCACTTGTCAAACATTGATCCCAATAAAAATTCATATGATACTGTTTATAATAATCATAGAATGTAAATACCAAATTGTTTAAAGTGTAGAATGTAAACACGTTGCATTATTTATTGCCTTTATCGTGGCTATGGGTTGTAGGGGATACATAGGAAAACTGGACACATCATGCCCTTGATATATACAAATAGTTAATTAATTAAACAAAGCTCTGTTTTCATCATCTCACGAGAGGTGGTAGGAGTTGGCAATGTTTTTTTTTTTTGGGGGGGGGGGGATTAATGTTGTGAAATGTGCTGTTTGTTGCTACTTGGCTACCTGCTAAACTTTTTACTTTTAATAACCGTTCAATCAAACTCTGTATTTTTAAAAGTTTACCAATGTCTTAGTTCTGTCCTCACTCAACGTTTTTTCACTTTATCTGGCATGGATCTGCAGGACAAAACAGCGTCTGCAGGATGAAACAGCGTCTGTGCCACCAGTAAATACAGGCAGTAGTTTTAATACCCCTGCACAATCCCCGCAGCCGGACAATTTTTCTCACAGCTTCTGGAAAGAAATGCTGAACTGGTGTTGCTCACTCAGCCGATAGAAACTTCCAACCAGTTTTCACCATTAAGTAATGAGTTGGAGTCAGAGCCCCGAGCCTTCCCAGGTCTTTCCACCACCAGTTACGGGGTCTGAGCTGCCAAAGCCTCCCACCATTAGCTCTGACAAATTGAAAACCCTAGTCATAGGCGACTCCATTACCCACAATATTAGACTTAAAAAGAATCATCCAGCGATCATACATAGTTTATCAGGGGGCAGGGCTACATACGTAAAGGCTAATCTGAAGATGATGCTGGCTGAGCCTAAAACTGGAGAGTGTAGATGGTATAGGGATATTGTTATCCACGTCGGCACTAACGACTCCATCCTAGCTGGAGGGGTGCTCTCATCTATCAACATAGACAGGGCTCTAACGCCTCTAGCTTCACAATGAGATACGGTGCAGGCCAGGAAGCAGTCTGTTAGCCAGCCTGTCAGTTTAGTTGAGTCCTGCCCCTACACAGTCAGTGTAGTCAACTTAGTTTTCCCCACTGACACCATGTCTGTGCCTCGATATACAGTGCATTCGAAGTATTCAGACCCCTTGATTTTTTCCACATTTGTTATGTTACAGCCTTAATCCAAAATGGATTTTTTTTAAAATCTAAAGGCTACACTTAATGGGCATGTGAAACTCAAAGAGGCAGTGGAAAGGCCATGTAAAAAGGTAAGTTTCGGCATTTGAGAAAACAAGCAATTGGAATGATTTCCTAACTCCGATTGTGTTACAAAGATTAATTCCAAAAATTTCTACACCGAAGGTCCCTTACGAACCAGTGGCCTCTCACTAAATGAAGAAGTTGGACCACAACATCTTTAAGGTCCGCCGGTTCAATGTCGGGGGAAAGGCCCCTGGCAGGAGGGCCAAGTGATTCCAAATTGAGAGCCCGATTTTGGGGGATGGAATCCAAACACAAATTTTTGCAGCACCAATCAGGCTTTGGTAAAGAACAGGGACCCCTCCCTTTAAAGGGACATAAGTTTTGTAGGTTTCCAAGGCCGCACGATCAAACAAATCAGGATTTTGGGTTGGCTAGTTAAAAAAATTTCTGTTCCCCAAACCCAAGGGGGAAACCACCGGGGAAACCACTGGACAGTTTTGGGGCCACCCGCAAAAGGCCGAAGGTTGGGTTGTCAAGAAAACAAGAGGTAGAATTTTTAGCCCAAACAAAGGGAATAAAACTCTACTGGTACCAATTTACCGCCTAAAAACCCCCTGGGGTTAAAGAATCAAAATTTTACAAAATTAAATGGTGTAAACAATGAGAAGCTGGGGTAGGCCCAGAAAAGCACCCTGGAACACCGGGGGCTGCCACATGAAAGAGGCAAGCAGGGGATCATCCCTTCCCCCCCCAAAAAAATGAGACTCTGTGCATTGTGTTGTGTGAGAAAACTCACTTTTAAAAGGGTGGGCTTTTATTGCCCAGCACAAGGTGCACCTGTGTTATGATCATACTATTTAATCAGTTTCTTGATATGCCACACCTGTCAGGTGGATGGATTATATTGGCAAGGAGAAATGCTCACCAACAGGGCGTAAAACAAATGTGTGCACAAACTTGGAGAAATAAGCTGTTTGTGTGTATGGAACATTTCTGGGATCTTTTATTTCAGGTCATGAAACATGGGACCAACACTTTATATTTTTGTTCAGTATAGTAACAGCAGCGTATGTGATGAGTCAAAAGAGATTAGTGCAAAAAGGGTCAATGCAGATATTCCAGGTAGCTATTGGTTAACTATTTAACAAACTATTTAGCAGTCTATAAGCTTGGGTGGTTAGAAGCTGGTCAGGGTCCTGTTTGGTTCCAGACTTGGTGCATCGGTACAGCTTGCTTTGCGATATCAGAGAGAACAGTCTATGACTTGGGTGGCTGAAGTCTTGACCATTTTAGGGCTCTTCCTCTGACACCGCCTGGTATAGTGGTCCTGGATGGCATGGACCTCCGCGCCAATGTACTGGGGCCATAGCACTACCTGCTGTAGCGACTTACAGTTGGATGCCAAACAGTTGCCATACCAAAGTGGTGATGCAGCCAGTGAAGGTGCTTCTCAATGTGCAGCTGTATAACTTTTGGAGGATCTGAGGGCCATGCTGAATCTTTTCAGCCTCCTGATGGAGAAGAGGCATTGTCGTGCCCTCTTCACGACTGTGTTGACGTTTTGGACTATTTTAGGTCCTTAGTGATGTGGAAGCTCTCAACCTGCTCTCAGACCTGTTCCATGTGGATGGGGCGTGCTCGGCCCTCCTTTTCCTGAAGTTCACGATCAGCTTCTTTGTCTTGCTGACGTTGATGGAAGGTTGTTGTCCCGGCACCATACTGCCAGGTCTCTGACTTCCTCCTGTAGGCTGTCTCATCATTGTCGGTGATCAGGCCCTACCACTGTTGTGCCCGTCAGCAACACTTAATGATGGTGTTGGAGTCGTGGGTGAACAGGGAGTAAAGGATGGGACTTAACACGCACCCTGAGGGGCCCCGTGTTGAGGTTCAGCTTGCCGGTTGTGTTTGTTGCCTACACTCACCACGTGGGGGTGGCCAATCAGGAAGTTCAGATTACAGTTGCAGAGGAAGGTGTTTAATTCCCAAGGCCCTTAGTTTACTGAGGAGCTTGGAGGGCACACATGGTTGTTGAACGCTGAGCTGTAGTCAATGAACAGAAGTTCCATGTATCAGACTATAATAAATAAAGAACAAGCTACACACTGTTTTTCAGTGCCAAATATCACTTGCTTGCTAGTTAAGTTCCAACTCTGTGTGTTTGTCAATGAAGCTAGCAAGTAAAGCTAGCAGGTACATTGAGCAACCAGGCCATAATCATCTTATCAAGTCACTGGAGAGTGGTTGGTGTACTTCAGTGCCGTTTCGTTTTTTTACAACTTTCTCACTATCTACAGTATTACCAGAGTGTGCGTCTATCTGCAGTGTTTCATTGGGAATCATGTTACAAAACAGGTCGTGGGGGGGTCACAAGACTCTCGGGATACAAAGTAAGCTCTGATTGTCTTCAAAATGTTATCTTCTGAAGAGATAGCCTTGATTGTACACAATATGCATATTCTCTCCCACAATATTGGTTCGTGCAGGTGACTGTGACCTCCTCCTCAGACCAATTGGCAGAACGCTCAGAATATGTTCTAGAAGTTAAGATAGGAGAACATTGCTCAGTTTCTTGGGAAACTGAGCCCCGCGCGATAACAGCCAGTCACCTGCAGGAACCAACACTATGAACCATGCCTATGTAGCTTTTTTGTGTAGCAGTATATAAGAGGAGTGAAGGGACCCCCTGGCGGAGCTTGTGGCAGACTTGTAATTTGTACGTGTGTTTTGTTGTAATAAAGAGTGATTCATTTAATATTGACTTCAGGTGTCCCTGGTGTTGAATTTCCACCACAATCTTGGCGTCACGTAACAGGATCAGTTGATTCCACCTGTGGCGCATCCCAGTGAAGGTCTGCGAGGGAACACCGGTGGCGCATTCCGTGTGAAGGTGTTAAGGAAATTCCTGTCTGACCAAAGACGACGTCGACCCGCCCAGACCAGACATTTACTGTGAGCTGCCCAGGGGAAGATACCTGATCTGCGAACCTCTGAGGGACACGTCTACTGAATTTTAGTAATTCAATTGTTTAACCTCTCCAGTTAAAAAATTGTTATTTATTTAATATTGACTTCAGGTTTCCCTGGTGTTCAATCAGACTCGAGTGATTTACATTATCAAACACATCAGCAAGTGGCCACTCCATAAAGGGCTTAGGGCCAAGAGTTATTTCAACATAACATTGGCAGACATGTTGTCTTATGTAAACAAGTCTGAGGCGCTGCGTAATGGACAGGTCTGTCTCACTGACTAGAGGTTCTGGTTGCAATGATTGGATAGAGTGTCCGCATCTGATAGAGTACAATCAGCACAGCTGCTTCTCTCCTGTTAGTGGGCAATGGGCAAGTTGGCATGATCTTAATCCATACCCAACCCTCCAGTAAGTCGTGACAAACTCACTCACTGACAATAGAATTCATGTTTCTGACTCACATCGATGCCACATAGGCCGTTTAAAACCAGAGAATTTGGTTTCAAGGGTGCGTTGACCTTTAACTGACCTGTGATCAAACAGCAGAGCACATTAAGAGTCAGAGCCAGCACACAGTGAGGCAAATTAAGAAGGAGTTTTGAGAAGCTTCACCAGTTTCTTACTAGATGAATATGAGGCCCAGGATAGCTGCACTGAGCCAGGAAGAAAATCAGACACAATCAAGCAATAGAGAAGGAGTATCATTCCTGCAGAACTACAAGACCACAGTGAAAAGAGCCCAGTGCACACTGTCAAATCCACAGAAAGTTACAGGAGATCTGGTTGATGTGGCAAAGCACCTGGGCAACGTGCAGTTCAGAGTCTGGAAGAAGATGCAGAGAATGGTTAAATACACTCCTGTGATTCTGGAACCTGCAGGAGTAGGTCTCACCCTGTTGAGGATCTGACCAGTGTGAAATACAGTGATGACCCCACAGCAGTATCATGACCCCCTAGAGTTTGAAGACCCTTTGTGGCCTTCAGCTCTGGGGGCTTTAGCTCAGGGACACATAGCTGGGACGTTGATGTTGATAAAATACAGGCTGGGTCCTGGGTGTGGCCTTACGGGTCCATCCAAGTAGAAGGGAGACAGTTGCTTTGAATTTGGTCCTGGGGTGTGGAGTTTTTAAGAGCAGAAATTATACACATTCCTTATCAGATATTTAAGTCTATTCACTCCTTTCCCAAGTGAAAAAAGCCCAAATGAATCAGAATACAGCTGGACTGGAAAAAAGTGAGATCTTTCCATTTGTTGCCCCAGTGATAACTCCATACAAAAAAAAATAGTTTTAATGAGTCTTTTCCCTTCACCTCTACTAAACTCAGCAAAAAAAGAACGTCCCTTTTTCAGGAAACCCCGTCTAATTCGTTAAAATCCAAATAACTTCACAGATTTTTTATTGTAAAGGGTTTAAACACGGTTTCCCCCTGCTTGTTCAATGAACCATAAACAATTAATGAACATGCACCTGTGGATCGGTCATTAAGACACTAAATGCTTACAGACGGTAGGCAAATTAAGGTCACAGTTTAGAAAACTTAGGACACTAAAGAGGCCACTCTACTGACTCTGAAAAACACCAAAAGGAAGATGCCCAGGGTCCCTGCTCATCTGCGTGATTGTGCCTTAGACATGCTGCAAGGAGGCATGGGGGACTGCAGATGTGGCCAAGGCAATAAATTGCAATGTCCGTACTGTGAGACGCCTAAGACAGCGCTACAGGGAGACAGGACAGACAGCTGATCGTCCCCCCGCAGTGGCAGACCACGTTGTAGCAACACCTGCACAGGAAATTGGTACATCCGAACATCACACCTGCGGGACAGGTACAGGATGGCAACAACAACTGCCCGAGTTACACCAGGAAAGCACAATCCCTTCATCAGTGCTCAGACTGTTCGCAATAGGCTGAGAGAGGCTGGACTGAGGGCTTGTAGGCCTGTTGTAAGGCAGGTCCTCACCAGACATCACCGGCAACAACGTCGCCTATGGGCACAAACCCACCGTCGCTGGACCAGACGGACTGGCAAAAAGTGCTCTTCACTGACGAGTCGCGGTTTTGTCTCACCAGGTTTGATGGTCGGATTCCGCGTTTATCGTCAAAGGAATGAGCGCTACACCGGGCCTGTACTCTGGAGCGGGATCGATTTGGAGGTGGAGGGTCCGTCATGGTCTGGAGCGGTGTGTCACAGTATCATCGGACTGAGCTTGTTGTCATTGCAGGCAATCTCAACACTGTGCGTTACAGGGAAGACATCCTCCTCCCTCGTGGGTACCCTTCCTGCAGGCTCATCCTGACATGACCCTCCAGCATGACAATGCCACCAGCCGTACTGCTCGTTCTGTGCGTGCTTTCCTGCAAGACTGGAATGTCATTGTTCTGCCGGAGGGTGAGGGCTAGGGCCATTACCCCCAGAAATGTCCGGGAACTTGCAGGTGCCTTGTGGAAGAGTGGGGTAACATCTCACAGCAAGAACTGGCAAATCTGGTGCAGTCCATGAGGAGGAGATGCACTGCAGTACTTAATGCAACTGGTGGCCACACCAGATACTGACTGTTACTTTTGATTTGACCCCCCTTTTGTTCAGGGACACATTATTCAATTTATGTTATCACATGTCTGTGTAACTTCTTCAGTTTATGTCTCAGTTGTTGAATCTTGTTATGTTCATACAAATATTTACACGTTAAGTTTGCTGAATATAAATGCAGTTGGCAGTGAGAGGACCTTTCTTTTTTTGCTGTGTTTATATATTCTCAGAGGATCTGTATCAGTGGATACTGCCTCTGCTTAAACCAGGTGTGAACACGCTGTAAATGAGTCAGTAACACTCATAGTGTAGATACTCACAGAGGGATGACACACACTGTGATGGAGTGGGAAAGGACCTTCCTCCCACAACTACAATCCATATGTAACACTCTCACTTGTTCAAACATTGATCCCAATAAAAATTCATATGATACGTTTATAATAATCATAGAATGTAAATACAAATTGTTTTAAAGTGTAGAATGTAAACACGTTGCATTATTTATTGCCTTTATCGTGGCTATGGGTTGTAGGGGATACATAGGAAAACTGGACACATCATGCCCTTGATATATACAAATAGTTAATTAATTAAACAAAGCTCTGTTTTTCATCATCTCACGAGAGGTGTAGGAGTTGGCAATGTTTTTTTTTTTGGGGGGGGGGGATTATTGTTGTGAAATGTGCTGTTGTTGCTACTTGGCTCCCTGCTAAACTTTTTACTTTTAATAACCGTTCAATCAAACTCTGTATTTTTTTAAAAGGTTTACCAATGTCTTAGTTCTGTCCTCACTCAACGTTTTTTAACTTTATCTGGCATGGATTGCAGGACAAAACAGCGTCTGCAGGATGAAACAGCGTTTTGTGCCACCAGAAAATACGGGCAGTAGTTTTAATACCCCTGCACAACCCGCACCCGGGGACCAATTTTCTTCACAGCTTCTGGAAAAAAATGCTGAAACTGGTGTTGCTCACTCAGCCGATAGAAAAATTCCACCAGTTTTCACCATTAAATATGAGTTGGAGTCAGAGCCCGAGCCCCTTTCCCCGGTCTTTCCACCACCAGTTAACGGGGTCTGAGCGCCAAAGCCTCCCACCATTAGCTCTGACAAATTGAAAACCCTAGTCATAGGCGACTCCATTTCCCACCATATTAGACTTAAAAGAATCATCCAGCGATCATACATAGTTTATCAGGGGGGAGGCTACATACGTAAAGGCTAATCTGAGATTGCTGGGTGAGACCTAAAAACTGGAGAGTGAGATGGTATAGGGATATTGTTACCACGTCGGCACTAACGACTCCATCCTAGCTGGAGGGGTGCTCTCATCTATCAACAGACAGGGCTCTAAAAAGCCTCTAGCTTCACAATGAGATACGGGCAGGCCAGGAAGCAGTCTGTTGCCAGCCTGTCAGTTTAGTTGAGTCTGCCCTTAGCACAGTCCCGTGTAGTCACTTAAATTTTTCCCACTGACACCATTTGTGCCCCGATATACAGTGCATTCAAATTTCAACCCCTTTATTTTTTCCACATTTTGTTTATGGGACGCCTAATCCAAAATGGAAATTTTTTAAAATCTAAAATGTCTGTTCTACAACTTCAATGGAGTCCACCTGTGTAAACTCAATTGATTGGACATGATTTGGAAAGGTACACACATTTTCTATATAAAGGTCTACAGTTTAACAGGCATGTCGAGAAAAACCAAGCCATGGTTTGGAAATGAATTGGGGCCGTAGAGCTCCGAGACAGGATTGTGTTGAGGCAAAGGATCTGGGGAATGGTACCCCAAAAAAATTCTGCAGCCCGAAGGTCCCTAAGAAAACAGTGGCCTCCATCATTCCCTTAAAGGGAAAAAGTTTGGAACCCCAACACTCTTCCTAGAGGCTGGGCCCCGCCCGGTCAAACTGAGCAATCGGAGGAGAAGGGCCTTGGTCAGGGAGGTGACCAAGAACCTGATGGTCACTCTGACAGAGCTCCAAGGTTCCTCTGTGGCGATGTGAGAACCTTCCAGAAGCACAACCATCTTGCAGCACCCACCCAATCAGGCCTTTGTTGTGAGTGGCAGAACGGAAGCCCTCCTGTTAAAAGGCACATGAAGCCCGCTTGTATTTGCCAAAAGGCAGGGTAAAGGACTCCATTGTGTTAGGCTATGGTTCAACCCAGCACTCAGAGAAACAAACACGACTAAGGAGTGGAAGAAAAAACATTATTTTAATAAAAGTTCAAATTGTCTTGTCCAAAAACAACTGAAGAAAGGAACAGAGTGGGCTATCGGCTCCGGAAGGAAAGGGAAGGCTGAGGCAGGCAGGCAGGAGGGCAGACCGCAGGCAGAAGGCAGGCAGGCAGGTTGGGAGGTATGTCTAAAACTGAAGACAAAACAAACGACCGGTTAAGGAGGGGTAAATAGCCGGCTGAAGACAAAGACAATATAACTCTACTGGTGAGCCAATTTACCGCTCTGGTAAGAAAAAACGATCTGGCGCCGGTGGACAGCCATGCCCAGGAATTAGTAGTGCGGGTTTGATGAGAGAATAGGATGCAGCTGCGTAGGCAAGAAAAATCACTGGAAACAACCCGCAGCTGCACAGGAGAGGCAGATCCTGAGCACGCCCCCCGATCCACTCCAGACACACCCACATAATGGGGACAAACACACATACAAAACAACAGACAAAGAGGGGACAAAACAAGGAGGAAGGAAACAGAAAAGGGGAGACAAGCTGCCCACATAACAGTAACCCCCCCCCTCAATGGTCGCCACCTGGCGACCCACCAGGCCTTTCAGGGTTGTCCGTGATGGAAGTCCGTGATCAACTGAGGACCCAAACCCACAAAACGCTTAGGTCCCCAAGACCTCTCCTCTGGTCCATAACCTTTCCAATCGACTAGGTTTTGGAGCCCCTACCCTGCCCCCGAGATCCAGGAGCCTACGGGACGGTGTAGGCCGGTGGTCGTAAATGAGGCAAACGGGTGGAGGTGGATCTGCCGGCGGACACAAAGGCTGGAGGAACACAGGTTTCAGTTGGGAGACGTGGAAATTAGGGTGTATCTTCATGGCTAAAGGGCAACTTCAAACGAAAACCCCCAGCGGGTTAAATTTGATGGACTCCACACAAAGGGACCCAGGTACCGAGGAGACGCTTGCGTGATTTGGTACAAAGAGGTACGTTCTTAGATGACACCCAAACCTCTTGACCAGGATGAAACCAGGTGCGGGAGTCCTGCTCTATCCGCTGTCGTCTTGTTCCTGTCGGTGGTCCGAAGCAACGCTTCCCGAGCGTCGCTCCACACTCTCTGGCAGCGGCGGAGGTTCCCCTAAACCGAAGGAACACCCAAATTTCCCTTTTCTCCTGGGGCAGGAAACAG